CAAAAAATTATCCATCCTATAAACTAAAAACCACAACCACCCAACATTCAGCCCATTACGCTATGTTTAGTAGACCAATAAGCTAACATTGCTTATTTGTTTACCTTATAAGCTCTTTGGTAGGACGAACTTATTTAAAAAGCTCGAGCTTATTTGATAAGTTTCTTCAGATAGCATTTCAAATAAGCTAGTTGATTTTTTTATTCCAGCTAACTTATCAGCTAATTTTACCAAACACTTTTATCATATAAGCTAGCTTTTCACCTATAAGTCACAATCTATAAACTATAAACTCGAAAATTGTTGATAAGTTATAAGCTAACTTATCAGCTATCAGCTAGCTTATCAGCTAGATTTAACAAACATATCCGTAATAAAAATCAATAAATATAGAAAACCCTGTACACAAAATCTCTACCTATTTTTGGCTAATCTAAAGTAGAATCAGAACCTTTAGCTACAAAATTCTCCTAAAATCTCTCTCCAACAAAATCCCAATTAAACTGAACTTTATACACATCATCCAGATTTCCAAAACACCCATCGTTACGAGCCCGGCCCGGGACGCTCAAACCGGACATGCTCGTGCGCGTTTAGAGCCTCCTTCGTAAAACTTTCCAAGGCCTTGAAAATCGGCACAAGCCCACCCTGCAAGCTTCTAGAAGCCGCATCGTTCACCAATTTCATGGCGTCCTTGTGCTTCACTCTCTCCTCGGCCACTTTCTCTTTCATCGAGTCGAGATCCACTTTGAGATCGTCTAACCGTGAGACCCCACCACCACTGTTACTGTCCGACTGTACCACCATCGGCAGACCTTTCTTCTCTTCTTCAACCCGTTTTTTGTAATCTCTCGAGAAATATTCCGCTTTTACTCTCTGGCGATCCTCCTCGTCTTGTTTCTCCCACAGCTGCCTGAGGCTGGCTGCAAATGTGTTCATAGCATCGGCCACCCGGGCCTCCGAGACGGCCCGCATGGCCTGGGCCCAGTCGTTGCAGATAACGAATATGGGTGGGGCCCCCAAACGGCCCGGAGAGTAAGGAACGGGCCCGTCTGGGGTCTCTTCGGGCTCGTACTGGAGGCAGTGGAGGAGCCAACCATTGAGGGACTCGACATATGACTTCTGGGAATTGATCCAGTCGTTGAAGCGGGAGCACCAGGCCTGAAGCTCGCGCTCAAGGCGGGCCGACGCCCGCGAGGCTGGGTCTGGGCCCGAACGGGAAGCGGTGTTGACCCTAAGCCTACGCATCTTGCTATCCATCACAGCCTGGAACTGCTTCTGGTGGCACTTGAGCATAGACTTCCACATCCGGATAAACCTGGAGGTAACACGACACGCAATTGAGGATTTTTTTTTTATTTTTTTTATTTTTTTTTTTAAGGGAAAAGGATAAGATTGATGCATAAAAAAGTTAATAGGGGAAAAAAATGACATGATGTTGATTTTTATTGATAATTAATCATAGAGTCCTGG